TGCATTTTGGAAGATAAGATAAGAAATAACAGTTTAGTAATAAAATTAAAAAATAAATATTGTTATAAATAATGAAACTTTTTAGAAATTTCAATATATATGAGGCTATTATATCTGATTGAATCACATCTTGAATCTTAGCTTCTTTAAGTATATAATTGATTATACTAAAGAGCTTTTATATAAACAATACAGAAGTAAAATTTTTCAAACCTTCAAATAATGATTAATCTTAATTCCATGATATCCTGGTTTAAAAATATTAAGAATATGTCAGATATTACATGTGTTACAGCTAATAAATTATAAAATGTAATGAAAATAGTTATTTTTGTATTAGATAATCTATTTGAGAATTATAGAAGACCAGGAATTAGTAATAGACAGCTTTGCCAAGTCTATTACAAATTCTTTTGAATGTATATTGCCACTCATGAAGAATCATTTACTTATGATTCTTGCAATAAGTTTCAGATATAAAGCAAATAAATGTTTAGCTTTTTATAAAATTTGATTATTAATGATTATTTTTGCAGACTTATATTATAAAGTAGGCTAGAGAATTTGTTAAAATATTTTCAAAATATAATCCAAGTAGTCTTTAGCTTTCAAAACTCCATACTTGGTGTTATTATATAGTGCTGATAATTTAAGAATATAGGTCAATAAATAATATAACTACAGAGACATATAAATCTTTTTATAAGAATTACATAAAAGAACCTTATTGCATGTTGAATAAAAAAGATTATATGAAACAAATATTAAAGATGGTAGTTATAATTATTCTAAATAATCATTATTAATTATTAACATATGCAATTATTATTCTTAAATTAAGCAGCAGAAGTTAACTAAAAAAGAAGTTCTCAAGTTGTATCACTGTACTAAAGGGTTTGAAAAAACTTTGTAGTCACTAAATTTAGAAGGTTTGAATAATTTTCTCAAGAAAATAAAAATAATTTAGATCTATTACAAGTCGAAAACTTTCAAAACCTCTTAACTGGTCTTGACAAATTTTTTAATAAGGAATTAATTATGTCTATTGACAAGGATAATTATATAAAAATATTTTCTTTTATGTTATATCATTAGAAAGTACAGATATAATTTATGCTATGTCAAGTTTTTATAGTGCTCCAATGTTTTCAAACATTATTGTTAGTAGTGGTAATAAAGAAAAAGTAATTTATTAGTATGGATTAGTAAGCATAGTTTAACTTTAATTTTATTTGTGTATTATTATAACTATGCATTTAATAATAAAAACAGATAATAATGATAATAAGCAAAATAACTCTCAAAGTTAGAAGCATATTTAATATATTTTTATCTAGCTTTAAGAGTACTAAATTTATACTAATATAAATATTATATATTAAGGTATTGTTAGTACTTAAGTTCAACCAAGTAGATAGAGAACTACTTGAATTTGCTTTAGTTTGCTAGTATAAGAAAGTTGGTGAATTATAAGGATGTTCTAAATTAAAACTACTTAAACAATATAGTTGTATACTATTAGATAACATAAATAGACAGTTAATATAATCCCAAGATATAATAAAATAAATGAATACTTAGTGAACATTTTTATGTTTTAATATTATATTAAAAGGTATATTGATATTTAAAGTGCTTTAAATTTGAAAATATATTTTGTAATATATATTTATCAATTGATAACAATGTGACAAAAATTATAACTATTAAAATAGATTTGATGACAATTAATAACTGTATTTTATCGATTATTATCTTATTATAGATTTGCATTGATATATAATATATATCAATTATAAACCTGTTTATCAATATATATTGTTAATTTCAAATGATATATATCAATTAATTTCTGTAAAAAAAAATTCTCAATGATAGTAGTTGATTTAATATTATTTATAAAAGAAAAAAGTTTTTTTTACAAATAGAATTTTCAAAAAATTTTTTTTGAAGGTAGAGTTATTAGAATTATTATTCTAAATAGTAGATATAATAAATTTCTTTTTTACTTTAAATATATTTAGATTTTGTATTAAAAAGATATTATTATATTAAATAAGAATAAAATATTAAGATGTTCAATTAGAAAATTTTTAATTTTTGTATAATAAAATTTATTATAGTTTATTTAAATTTGTTTAAAAGATATTTTAAATTGTATGTTTGAATTTATAAAAAATAATTATTCAAGCTAATGCATATATATCAGTAGTAAAATTTATAATTTTTTTAAGAACTTTTTTTTAGATAGCTTTTGAATACCATTATTTTTTGTACTGTATATAGCTATTTTTTTAAATATTAGTAAAAGTAATATATAATTCATACAACTTTACTACTAATATTATTGAGTAATACAAAAATTTTTAAGTTAATATAACCAAATTTTTTAACACAATTATTAAGTCTTGTTTTAAACTTTGTATTAAATCTATCAAGTTATAGTCTTTCTACTATAATTGAATAGCTTCTGTTATTGCTATTAAAGAGTAAAATCTTTATATTAATACTATTCATCATTAAAAAATACATTTTTTAAAATTAATCTTTAGTCTGCATACTTGATATTATATAACTACCTTACAAACAATATTTTATATTATCAAATCTAGATAGTTTTAACTATTTTAATGGGTTTAGATTACAGATAAATTAGATAAAAATCTATTTATAATTTGAACTTTACTTTTGTAATATATTTATAATTAGAATAAGTTTGTAATTTACATTTAGAAAAACTTTTAAAAGCTTTTTTAACAAATTAATAAAAATATAAGCAAAACTTTTTCTTAACAAAAAAAACAGAAACTTAAAAATAACTATTTTTTATTAATTAATAAAGTAACTGCTAACTATATACTATTAAAAATATCTTCTTTAAATAATTTTTACAAGCAAAATTTATACTTATGTATTTATAAAGTAATAAACTGCTAGTTTTCTCTAATTATTATAAATAAAAATATATTTTTTATTAGAAAAAAAAACTATATTTATTTTTTAAACATTACATATATTTAAAATAAAATTTATTATATTATATCATTGTTATAATGTCAAGCTATAAAGACCTTGTTCTTATAAAATATGTTTTTTATATTGAGTTATATCTTAATTTTAGTTATCTCACCAAAAAAATTTAAAACTATATAAAAAAAATGATATATATAACTCAAATATAACTATATAAGACCTGTGGGTCAATAGTGAAGTGGTTACACTACCAGGTCACCAATCGCAAAGTTGCCGGTTCAAGTTTAATGAAGGATGAAAACTGAGTTAGGATCATGATTGTTAATTAACTACAGCTAACTGTGAACTATGAAAATAGGAAGATCTTCAGTATCCAGATTCTTAAATGGTGATAGACCTGACATAAGAAGGCTGTGATAATTAGGGGGCTGAAGATAATAATAGAACAAAGGAATCCCTGATTAGGAATAATCCCAGTAAAATTATGAGGTAATAGTAATACAGAAATTAGTATATAGATAGTATTGTAAATGTATACAAATAATGTAAAATGTAAATGGGGTTCTGATAAAAGGTCCTGTAAATTTGAAATAAGAACTAATAAAACAGCTGCCAGCTGCGGCCCACTAGCGACCATGCAGTGAAAAATTCAAAAAAAAAACCAAAAATAAAAAAAATAAATAACTATATAAATTTTTTAAAAAAAATTTAACAAAAAATTTTATAGTATAACATTCAAAACAAAAACTTTTAAGTTTTTATTACTTCTAAATTTTTAAATAAATTTAAAAATTTTCTTAATAAAATCATTAGAATCTATTTGGAATTATTTTTTCTTTAAAAAGTATATAACTAAAATTAATATTTAAAATTTTATTTTAAAAATAAAATTTTTTTAAACAAATTTGTAAGAGAAATAGTTTAAGGAATAGGTATATTTATTAATTTAAATATTTATTATTTTAATTAACCCATACTGCCCTCTCTAAAAATTTACAAAAAAATGTTTCTTCACTCTGTTTGCATATTTTACAGAAACTTTTATAAGTCTTATCTTTCTTTCATTCGAAATAACTATCATATAATGTTTAGTTATTAGCAACTTCATTAATATATTTAACAAGATTTGCTATATTTTTAAAATCAGTAACTTTAATAATAGAATATGATGGAACATAATCATCTATATCAGAAGCACCCATGTATATCGGAATAGAATTAATTATAAATAAATAATAGACTTTTTCAGTAACTTAACCTTCGCAGTTTAAATTTTCAAATGCGAGAACAAATTTGTAGTGAATAAAAATATCTAGTTTTAATTCATACATGTGTTCTTTCCAATATGCTGTATCACTTTTTTTGATACTATATTTGTCCCTAATATTATCAGATACTTCTTGATTATTGAGACATTGTCTAAATGAGTGAACTGTAATGTATTGCATTAATTCTTTTACATAGTCATTGTGATTGTTTTTAGATTGACAATTATTAGCCATATATGTAACAAGAACATTGAATTTCTTTTTATTAAATGGCATATTAATTTTATAAAATTCTGCAATACTTTTCTTAGTTATTCTGTATGTAGGTTGAAAACATCAAAGATTTTTGCAAGTGAACTCATAGTCATATCAAAAAGAATTTAAAAAGTTTTGAGGCAAACAAACCAGTAATAACCTAGTTCTTTATCTGGAAATCGAAGCTACCAGACTTGTTCTGCCTTACATGGGGGCATTTGAACTATTGAATAATAAGGTGGGTCATTTATGTGAAAGAGGAACAGATAGTCTATATATATTATAGCAGCATTTCACTATTGAGTGTAGTTGGAAGCTAAGCAATACTTCACTTCACTTGCACAGGTGTTCTGTTCTTCAGATTGAAGATTACAAAACCAATATGATGCGTAACCTCTAGACCACTCTAATATATTAGAGATAGAACGATGAGCAAAATTACTAAAGATTTGTTGGAAAAACTGGGTGAGTTCTGGTGGATAAGGACAGAGCTCTTTAGAGACAGACTCCCAAGATATTGAAGCAACTGTTGCAAATATCAAATAGTGCTATATAAAAATTATCAATTCTCTAGATTTTGGCTCTACAAGATAGAATTTACAAGGTTTGTGAGATGTAAGGTTTTTGCAGGAAGAAGATAAATAATCTGAAGTGAAAGGTATCCATGATAATTTTGGAATCCTTTTGTTTGGTTTATTAACTAAAATTTCATTCTGGTTTCCTAAGAGGTTCAACTGTATAAAATACAGACAGGCTAATAATAACATTGAAACTGCTTCTATATATAATTTCCATGAATATGAACATGAAAAAATTGTACATGTTTTCATTATCTTCCTTTCTTTCTTGGTGAATTAAGCAAAAAAACAAAAACTATAAAGTACATAGAGTACTAGGAACGGAGTAAGAGTATGGTTTACTAGAGAGTGAAATAGTGTGTGCTATTTTTAGCATGTGATTTGGTAGTCCTTCATCATAAACTCGAACTATACTTTAAAAGGTACATCCACCTCTGCATGCTATGTTTTATAATTGGTTGATCCATGTGACTTATTCATCATTCAATATTTAATACAATATTTGCTTTTGGGAAAGTCTCTGGACACAACAAGCATTTAATAGTTCATGTGATTTTGCACTTACTATTATAGTTAGATTATTTTGATTGTTGGTTTATAATTGGTAAGAACAACCCTAGCATTACCCAGAAAAAAAATAGTAGCCAGATTAATTTGCCGGCTTACAATACATGTGATTTTCAAAAACTGATTTCTGGTAAAATATGAATTTTTTATTAATTTTTTATATTGCATTATTCACAATCTAGCTAACAAATTTATGACTACAAATTTTAGCATATTGAATAAAAAAAATCTTTATACATAACTAAATAACACAAAAAAAAGATATAATATACTGTGTTTATTTTAAACATTGAAATCTTTTGTATTCACAGATAAATTGATATTAATAAACAAAAGGCAGAGTATAAATATTCACAAACTTAAATTGTTTATTTAAAAGATTGATCAAAATCTTTATACTTAACTAAATTAATATGAATAAACAAATAGTATTCAGAATAAATTCCAGAAATAATTAGTGTTTTTTTTTAAAAAAAATATATATTGTCAGAGGTAAAACTGATACCTTATGGAACCTGCAAAATGGACATCATTGTGGCATACTTACCTAATTAGAGTTGCCCATGATGATCCATCTGAAACATGTGTACCCAATCCCAAAAAAAGTTATATAAAAGTACACAAGCCTTTATGCGGGACCCAACCACCTCCTCCAATTAAAGTAAGGTCGACCTGGACCAACCTCTGTGCTAGAAATGGATGTTGACTTCATCTGCCTTACTTAGGTTAGGTGTAAAATAATGTCAAGGGAATGCGATTGAAGACAATACAATGGGTTCTGGCTCTGGGATTATAAAACTGAAACATTTATCATCGAAACTGTAAGAAATGTTAAAGTAACGAAAGGCTGTGTGGAAGGGGTTAAAGGTTATAACAAATAAGGTTTGGAAGTGTTGGAAATAATGAGAAGAGTCGTGGTCTTGTGTAAGCTCTTCTCTCATTTAATTCATTATAAAAAGGGTAGAATTTCCCTCTCCTGAAAGGTATCTCAGCATAGTTTAAAGTAGTTTAGAGAAGTCCAGCATAGTTCAATATAATTCGAATAACCCCTAATAATATACTTGTACTGCCTCTATAAAAAATTAATAAAGTTATTAATAAAGGTCCTTTGAACTGCCAATACAACAACACTCTTTAAAAACTGTAGTACTTATCTTGTAACAATTCTTAAACGATCATCTCAACCTTGTGCCAAATTGTTAAACTGCCTCTATTATTTTTGAGGAACATTATGTAGCATAACCCTTTTTCTAGCAACAATCTGTCGCATTTGCCCCATCTCTGGACTTGACATTAAACCCATCATAATATATATAATTTAAATATCTTATTCTAAGTCTTTAGATTTTTTTTTTGCAAATTCCTGACAAAAACATTTGTATTTTAAGTTCATTGATAATAATTTTTAAATATTGAATAAATAGTTTGGTCTTAACTATAAATGATTTTAGCAATATGACTATCATGTTTGGTTCAAGTTATATTTTTGTAAATTCAACATAACAAAATTCCCAAAGTAGAAGTGAAAGTCAAAACGAAAATCAAAGCAAAGTTATAATGAAAGCCAAAATAAAATTTAAGGTGAAAATTAAAGAAAACGAAAGTCCAAAGTCAAAATGAAAATTAAAATGAAAGATCCAAAGTGAAAATTAAAATCAAAGTTAAAATCAAAGTAAAAGTAAAAATAAAAATCAAAACAAAAATCAAAACAAAAATCAAGATAAACATTATTTTACCAGCAATCAGTTTTTCAAAGTCATATGCAAGCCAGCAAAAAGTCTGGTTACAATTTTTCTGGGTGACGCTATTTATTTTATTTTGTAAGTACAAACTAACATGAATGATAAGTGTTCGGAGACTTTTCCTTTGTTGTATGCTACACAATGAATTTAGTTTCTTATTGCCTCTATCTGAATTACTTATTTTGGATTATCTGTATCACTGTATACTAGCCCTGATTTTTCATTTTTTGTTAAACCATTAATTTGGTTTTCGCATAATGATTTATTATATTATTACATTAAAATTTTAGTTTTATTGTGTCGTGTTCCTTATCTTATTATCGATTTAATTGGATTTTGATGTGTACGTTTCGTTTTTCTTGTTTATTTCCTATTTCAGTATTGATTTGTGAATTACGTCACTGTATGCTAGCACGGACTTTCTATTTTGTTAATAGTTTTAGATCTGCGAAAAAAATATATTTAATATCGTAAAAATTATTATACGTTTCAAATTGGGGCTGATCTACTGTGAGCCGTGAAATGTGATCCCCGGAAGCACATGTAAGGAGGTGATCGATATGGTGCAGTAATAATAAACGGCTATGTCAATCATCTACCTAATATGGGTTTCCCGGGATTATCGGTCGTAAAAGTCGTTTAGGACTATTAACAGGTATAAGGATTATAGTGGTAATACGGGTTTTAAGAGAAAACAACAATTAAAGGGATATATGATAATTGAGGGCTTTAAGTAATCTAGGACATTAAAGAGATATACGTTAGATAATATGTTTAATATGTTTAAGAGCTGTAGGAGCGCATATGTAATAGAACAATATATAATAAAGGCTTTGAGCCCTACACGAAGAGTAATTAGTTGGTGCTTATCATAAAATTTGTCCCTAAATAATTACCTGCTTTTGCTACATTGTAAAACCTACGATCATAAACATACCACTCTCCAAATCTAACTGCCTCTTATCGATTGAGAAGCAACTGACTCGCCATTTCGCTTGTGTCACTACTAATATATAATCATAAGCATTTCATTTTATCGTACTCTATCCATTGATCTACATGCATGATGAATTCATGTGTGAAAAATAACCAAAATTTGATGAATAAATCACGTGTACCAATCAAAACTTAGATTTCATAAACAAATCCAACTTCAAACATCATATAATCCGTACACTTATTACATTTGTTCTTGGTTTACTATTGCATTTGTTCCTGATATATTAATATAGCAATTAATAATCATTAGAGGATAGAAGTATTTATGGTTTAACTCAAAGCATCGCAACAAATGAGTATATGTTAGTATTTGATGAATTTTATAATAAAAGAGATATAAATAATGGGACATGTGCAAATTGTAAACAATATAACACTTCTTACGCCTGGTGTCAAACATGCGATCCTCAAAAATCAATACAAGGATGGACAAGTGGAAATAGAGATATCGACGAGTGCATTAAGAAATTTCAACTTAAAGCTACAAAACAAAACACGTAGATGTAATTGAATAGATTCATTTTAATAGTTTAGTTAACATTCAAATGATTGGTAACAGAGGATTTGGCATTGCATTTTTTGCATTGTGGTTAGATGGTAAAAAACATTTTCATATACTTCAGTAAGCTCACACAATCATGCACAACATCGGTTCACAAATAAATTTTTTAAAAGAAGTATGTTAAAATGGCTTATTTATAATCTAATATAAATAAATTATAAACTAATAACATTATAAATTTTTGTTTCAAATTAATAAGTTCAAAAATTACTCAGAATTTAGATTAGTATGATAACAGTATAAAATAAAGATTTTTTAGAATCCACATCAGAAATAGTAAACTATTTCTATAAAGAACATAAAAATTTTTATTATAAGAACTTTCAGTTCATTATACAAAAGTTAACTGTACACATATGCTATTATTCATATGCTAACAAAATAAAGGTAGCTTATATTTAGAAATACAAGAGTGCATTCTGACAAAGGTGAGCTGTATTTGGTACTGGTTCTTTTCGTTATTTAACTCACGAGTATACCTTTAGGACTCTACAACCTTTTATGACTTCGTTTTAATTATTTATTTTTGTTAATTTGGTTCATGATTAAAAGTTTACTATAACGGGTTTATGAACTTTGAAATTTTAAATTTAGATAATTGAGGTTGTAACATGTAGATTTTGTATTCTTAATAATTCATTATCTTTGAACAATTTAATTTACAATTTAAAACTGATCAAGATTATTATTTATTAATCAAATTTATCTTTAGAATCAGGTCTACCGAATAATTGATTGTGAGGGCAATTAATTGAAACTATTCAAAACCCAATTAATCGATTGGTGAAGTCACAAAAAGCCGTTTAATTGCAATTTCTGAAGTTGTTTGAAAAATGTAACGACTTAATAAAATATGTAACAATAAACATAAGTATGAGTATATTTGAAAATATTTGACATCAAAATTTGTAGTTTTTGAATTAAATTATACAAATCATGAGAACATTAATTTACATTCCTTTACAAAGACATGTGTATAATACAACATTCTAAATCTTTTTTTTTTTAAATCAGTTTCAATGAATGCCAAAGTTCTAAACAAATGTTACATAAATGCTTTTTCAAACCTTCAAATGATGACAGATATTAGTATAATTTACGTTCTTCCAATTATATTCAGTAACGTTCTTCCAGATCATAATTGATATCAAAAAGATGCTTTTTTTAGACCTTCAAATGATGGCGGGCATTAATGCAATTTATATTCTTCCAGATCATAGCTGATAATCAAAAGGATGATCTTTTTAGACCTCCAAATGATGATAATTATCAGCGTAACTTACATTCTTTCAATGATGCCTTTTTCAGACCTTCAAACGATCAGACTATTTTATATATAATATATTATGAGTAAGTATGCTAATTTTATATACTCAAATGCGATTTTTACACTACTTTACTAAACCATGCACCACTACTATTCGGAATACCGATCACGAAGCCGTATAATATTTTAACCGGTATAAATCGTTACGTATATCCCTTAATTCAACGATCACCCATGATCCAAAAAACCAAATTTCTATCGTCTTTGACGATCAGCGATTATCATTCCATCAACCCAATAAAAAATCCTACGAAACAAAAACAATAAAATGGCAAATATCAGGTAAATACGCAAATTAATTTGCACCGGGTCACCAATTTTTGAGTCTGAAATTCCTTTTTTATTATCGTTAGGTATCACAACTACGACATCATTTACGTTTGCATTTTTTGTATTCAAGTTATACTTTGTAATTACGTATCCGAATGCACGTGTATATGTCGCATCTGAAGTAGCGATTTATCTAAAGTAACCACTTTATATAAATAAAGTAGCGCCCTGGCTAAAATTAAAATCTAATGCATGCATGAAGGTCTAATTTCAGGGGCTTAATTTTAGTCAGGCGCTACTTCAAATGAATCGCTACTTTAGATGCGACATATATACGTTGATCTATATGCGTGATGAATTCATATGAAAAATAACCAAAAATTGATGAATAAGTCACGCGGACCAATCAAACTTAAGATTTTGCGGAGCAATCCTTCTTAAAACGCTACACTACGTGATTTCATCACTCCATTCCTGGTATAGAAAAAAACTTAAATCATTGTCAACTTGAATGGTAATTTTCTTGCATTTGTATAGATTTTAAACATATTAGCTTTCGCAAATATGTATATGTAATTGGTTTTCTTTGTTCTTTTTCATTTTCTAATAATATTAATTCTAAATCCACTTATTAGAAACAACCAAGCAAAAACAACTTACTAATAAATAACTTTAGTATAGTATCGAAAAAATGATGCAAAATTTAGACATTGACCAATTGCAAGTTGTTTATAATCAGATTTTATAGAACATTGAGAATGTGTGCAAGCCAAATAGAATGTTGCAAGTAAGAAATACAAAATTGAAGCTCCATCACATAAATATTGAAAAAACAATAAAGATAATATGTTTTAAGTGAACGATAATCAGTAGGCCAATTATCTCATATGATGCTGATCATTTCTATATAAGGTTTGTGTTACTTGCACACAAATAAGTATTCGTGTAAACACAGTTAGGCATATTACCAAAAAATGGAAATCGAATTTTATTGGCTGCTTTTCTTTAAATTCGGTTACATTTTGTGGCTTTTCACGATAACTAGCCATGACAAATAATTTTATAAATATAAAATTGCCCGTTCAAAGTTTCATGTTCAACGTTTGTTTAAATGGTATAAAAACTCAAATAAACCAGTTTTACTATTATTTTATCAAAATTTTCCAATTTGTTTCGCTGATTAATGTATAACTCAGCTTCCGATTCGTGTAGCAGAAGCAAAAGGAATCACTGATCTGCCTTTCTATACCATAAAAAAGGTAATATGCCCGACTGAAATAAAAACAAACATGAACAGTTCGTTGTATATAAAATTAACTGCATCCCATTCATTCATAAAATAATCAAGCTTACAATTTATTTAAAAAATAAACATGGTTATTTTGAAAATTATTTTCACGTCAGTTCTAATTACTTCATCATATGTGTGCTTAGGGTATTTAATAGATAATATGGATTCACCGTATAGAGCTATATTGCTTTATACTGGACTTTGCATTTATTGTTGCATGAATTTAAATCTACGCATTAAAGAATTTTCTTATTTCTTGAAAAAGCATCCTCGAGTAATAATTGTGTTCACTATACCTGCTCTAGCATCTATGCATGATCTATACACTTTTGCTACTGTCTTTATTGTTGTAATAACGTATGTTGCGACTATTTCAGTTTTTAATCGTATTATTTCAAAAAATGAAAATACATTTGGAATTATTATTCAATTTGCAAGTCATGTAATAGTCATAGTATTATTAACAATTTTATTTAAAACAATGGCTGAGTATATACTATTTTCAAAGTCATTTGCTAATACTTTCTATTTAAGTTTTAAAGAATTTCTTTTTATAACATTTATTTCGTTATTATTATTATTATTAATTATATTTATTCGATTAATTATGGCAAAAACTATTTCATTACAAGCATTCAAAATTGAATTAACCCTTTGGTTTCTTGTGGGAAAATTAATGCTACATTTATTTGTACCAATTTGTTTGTATTGTGGTAATTTACGTTCGGGATGGATGTGGTGTCATAATTGTGGAAAAAAATATTTTCAAAATAATTTTCCAAATTGGACAAGTGGAAATAATGATATTGATGAATTAGTGAAATATTATCAATTAAACGCAAAACACAATGTTGATTATATTGAATGGATCCCTTATAATCGATTTAAAGATTTTGAATTGATTGGAAAAGGTGGATACGGCACTGTTTATTCAGCTGTTTGGTTAGATGGTCCTTTTGATATTATGAAATTTGGTAAATTTTGCAGATCAGGTGAATGCAAAGTAGCTATTAAAAGTATTGAAAGTTCATTTTGCAAAATATCTGATGAACATAAAACTTCAGAACTTTTCAGAGAGGTATGTAGCTATTCATTCATACTTTTATGTATATTTTTATAAAATAATATGCTATTATAATTTTATTTAGCCAATTGCGCTTGTAGTATCAGCAATTTCGAATAGAAACGACATAGTAAATTTTGATGTTCTTAGATGTTATGGATTAAGTAAAGATCCTAATACCAATTCTTATTTGATCGTTACACATTTATGTAAATGCGATCTTTGGAAGTATATAGAACAGAATTTCGGTAATATAGATTGGTTTGAAAAATTACGAATATTAATGGAGACTGCTAATGGATTAAAGACAATACATTCTGCTGGCCTTATTCATCGAGACTTTCATTCAGGAAATATTTTAGTCGGTCATGATAATCTTATTTACATTTCAGATCTTGGATTATCATGTTATGAAGATGAGGATACAACAGATTCTGGAAATTCTGGTGTATTTGGAGTTTTACCATATATTGCACCAGAAGTTTTAAACGGATTTCTATATACGTCAGCTTCAGATATATATAGTTTTGGAATTATTATGTGGGTTATTGCATATGAAGAACGACCTTTCTCCAATGAAATGCATGATAATATCAGTTTGACTTTAGCTATTTGTAATGGAGAACGACCACAAGCTAATAGAAATATGTTTATACCTGACTGCTATAAAGAATTAATGGAACAATGTTGGCATAATGTTCCATCAAATAGGCCAAATATTAATGAGTTATATGAAATCTTAAGAGGATGGTATCTTGCTGGAATAAATGATAATCAATTTGAAGATGCAAATAATAAAAATAAAAATATCGAATTCATTCATCTACCTGAACAACAGGTATGGGAGAATAGTGAATTTATATCAACTACACATATAACTAATGATATTCCTGGTGAGTAACATATATTGCAATGTATATTATCCATTAGTATAAGAGTTATTGTTTACTCGTTTTTTCTATATTTTTATTTAGATCTCAATGCAGATTTGGAAATTTCTACTGGACTATATTAAACTAAAATTTTCTTGTGATTTATCAATTATATAACTAGGTTCTTTAATTATATAAAATTTCTATTCGATAAATCTATCTTATGCGATATTGTTATTAACAACTATTGGCTGCTTCGAATTTAATAATAAAGTACTGATGTGTCACAGTAATTTGGAGAATGTTTTTTAATTTAATATAATTGAAATTGACAGATAATAAGTGAAGTCTATTAATTTAAGGAGTATTACATAAAGTCACAAAAGGCACTGATCAGTCAATATTTGACGAAAAAGAGAAAAAACTTAACAACAACGAACATAAGAAAAGATTAACGAAAATAATAAATGAATAGTATACTGTGCGATTATTACTAAATTGTAGAATCCAACTAAATCGGTGAATCTGATAGAAAAGAAGGAATGATCATGGTCGTCAGAATCGTAATTTTCAGAAATATTTTGGGTACATTGTCTTTTTAGCGGATTTATAGTAAATCAATTGATTTAATGGCATCGAATCGTTTTTCTTTTTGTAATGTTGGTCTTTTTTTATCTTAATATCGTAGTGCAATAGCCAAAGACCCGAGGTCAATACAAATACCCAATGAAAATCTCTGTATATTATACTATTGAGCGTCTGTGTTGCAAGAAAGTTTTCAAGTTTATAAATACTTTACATATATAACAAACAATTTTGAATTTTAACCAAAATTCTTATTTGATTGATAGATACTTCGTGGATATTTTGCATGAGCGATGTTGAAAAAAGGAATTTTAGCCAGTTCACTGTAAAATTATATAATCAGAGTATTACTGCTTAGCATTACTGTTTCTAAATAAAGATATATCACTTAGCTAATTAGCAGAAGTTCTTTTACAAAATTATTAGTTGTCTTCTATTTAAAATTTTTTCACTTAAATAATTTAACATTAAAGTTTACAATATAGGAAACCTGACTAATCATACGATACCTCGCCGATTATTAAATATTATATATTGCGAGAGATAGGGTCATAGACAGAAGTTTGTCTGATTGGCTAATAAATTCAATTTAATTTTACATTATTTATACAGTTTAGAGTACTTTT